TAGTTTGTTTTTATGCAGCTAAGTCTAAAATTAATTGCTTGTTTTACAGTAAACAAATTCTGAGAGACAAAACAACACTACTATGGTTCACTAACACACACTCTCGACTGTAGCATCCTGACACCTCATCCCAACTTGAGTGTATTTAAAAAATTTATGAGGGCATTTACAACTGGCTCTGTTATATAAAGACCATGCAGATGGGTTTGAAAATGCTATTTGGCATAAATTAAAGTTGAATGTTTGTCCTAGATCACTTTTCTCATTCACAGCCATTATTTACCAGCTACAACACTTCTTTGAGCGTAATTATTTTGAATTGAAGCAGGGACATGGCTAGCTTTAGCCGTGGTACTGCAATGTTCATATCTATTTAATGATGAAGCAGGTATGGGGCAATATGCATGGGCAGCTAAAAGTGCAGGCGTCTTGTTTCAGGTAATACATTTTTTGTTGTTATTATCATGAGATGTGTCTTTTGCAGATTTAACTACATTATCACTCCCTCGAAAGTACTGCTGATATGTTAAATCAGAGAAAAGAAACCCCACAATTACATTAAAGGAGGGACCTGAGGCATATTTAGGAACGAGAATATCGTAGAGGTTTCAGGTTGATCTCTTTCGACTTGAGTTGGTAAGTAACCCCTTAGCAATCACCTACATAGCATAGCAACAGTCAAAATGGACTAAAAACTCACTGTAAAAAAGATGGTTCTTTAAAGGTTCTTTACACGTAGTTACAGTTCTATTAGAACCATATCATTCTCAGTGTTGGGGGTCACGCATTACAAGTAACGCGAGTTACGTAATCAGATTCCTTTTTTTCAAGTAACTAGTAAAGTAATGCATTTCTTTTTTTTTTTCAAATAAGTAACGCAAGTTACTTTTTTTGATTTCAATTGACATTGACATATTGACATATTGACAGCTCTCCTTTTTGTTTTTCAGATCTGTAACTGTCAAAGCCATTTATCCATCCATCCGTCCGTTCGTCCATCCATAAATGAAAGATGTAATTACTGTTTTGAAAACAGATATGATGACCAGGTTGTATATACAAGATGTTGAATTGGACAGTCACGACTCACACATTGTATTTATTGAAAGTGGAGGAGAAACCAGTTTGTGACTTGTGTGAGAATTGTTTTGAGTGTAAAGCATATTTTAATAGAATGTCCCATTTTAAATGATATTAGACAACGTTTTACTCAGAAAATATACTAAAAGACATTTTTAAAAAGGTCTCTCCCTGAAGAATCTTAGAAATGTTATCACTGCTTAAATTGAAAGATTCTATGTGATTTTTTTATCAGTACTATTGTTGTTATGTGGATTCTATTTAGCACCAAAAAGGGTTCAGCTATTGTTCCAGCCAAATAACCCTAAATTGGTACTGTTTAGAACCTGTGCTTCTCTGTGGCATGCACAAACTTGGACACGATTCATATTTTCTTCAAAAATATGTAAAATGTTGTGTACAGTATATGTATTTTTAAATATTTGATATTTAAAAAAATTCTGGAAATTAAATTAAAAGATTCAAAATAGCTTGAAAAAGCAAACCATGAAAACACATCATACGACCCCTTTAACATCAAAGGATGGCTCTTTATGCAACCTTATAAAAAGGATTCTATTTAGCACCAAAAAGGGTTCAGCTATTGTTCAAGCCAAATAACCCTAAATTGGTACTGTTTAGAACCTGTGCTTCTCTTTGGCATGCACAAACTTGGACACGATTCATATTTTCTTCAAAAATATGTAAAATGTTGTGTACAGTATATGTATTTTTAAATATTTGATATTTAAAAAAATTCTGGAAATTAAATTAAAAGATTCAAAATAGCTTTTTTTTTACTTAAAGTGGCATGTTGAAGTTTAAAAATGAAAGAACTGTCTTTTCACATGTAATGTCAACCACAGTAGTTTATATAGAATAACCATTAAATTTAATTTGTACTCCAGAATGTCTGTAAAGTCAATCACGAAGGGTCTGCGTTATTAAAAAATGTCCTAAACATTTTGATTAGTTCTCAAGGTGTTTTTCAATAGCTGAAGTATTGCACATACCTAAAAGTGTACTTGACACAATGATGAAAAACAAATCCAGGGTGTTTTAAGTGGGTTTTAAAACATAATTGGGAAACTGTAGTCCTGGGGTTTCTGTTTCATCACAGACAGATCAATAATTCCTTGGAGAGAACCCAGCAAATTATCCCCCAGATCAAGCAGCAAAGTTCTCCCTGATGATAGGGGAGGTACAAGGCAAAAAAGCCCACACAAATGGCAGGGGCATAATGAAAAGTAGCACACAAGGCACCCGCATCACCATTTCCTGGTATCGTGCTGTGCTTTGGCAGATTTGAGGAGCAGGAAACTGGCATACAGTGTGTCTAGACCGGATGAAATTCTTCATTAATTCAGACTGTTGTTTTTCTGCTTCCTAATTTAGAAGCTCAGCAATTAAAATGATGCAGACTCCAAAACAGCTCAGTTTGAAAGCTTTCAGACCGTAATGTTTTGGAACATTTTCTAAACTCTTGGCCACACTGCTTGAAATTTGAATATGGTGTGTTTTTATGACGCATTCAATTGATTACGCCATCAATCAAAGGAAGAGCGAGATCCCAATTTCATCGGTCATCCGACGTGACGTCGAGAGTGACCGACTGAAAGGGAACAGAGCAGCAGGGAAACTATACAGAGCAGCAGGAATATGGCTTCTGAAGACTTGGTACATAGTGCACAAGTTCCATGGACCATTTTAAGACACTAAGTAGTACATAAAAAAAGTGTCTAAAATATTCACCTTCTTTATTCCACGAAAGAAAGAAATTCATACAGGTTTGGAAAGACAAGAGGGTGTATAAATAAATGAAAGAGAAGGCTCACACCTTGTTTGTGTTCAGCAGAAAAGCAGCTCATTAGGAATCAGCTTGCCTTTGATATGAATAAGGACTCGCAGCTGATTCACTCACAGTGTCTACGGTGCATCTGAATATCCCCCGCTATGGCTGAGTGTCACAGTGAGTTTATTTCTTTGTTTCAGCATTGACTTCTGCATCAGCATCGCAGTGTGACTCTTTTGGGTTCATTCTTTATTATCAACAAATGCTGTGTCTATAATTGACAAGGCTTCTAATGCAGAAAGAGGGAAATGTTTTCTTTGATGCATGATGCTGTGATGATTCCATCATCTCTTCTGATTCATTACTTTAACTCTCCTCTGCAACAATACAATTGAATTACACAGTCAATAATGCTAGTCTTTTGTGTGGGACACACAACATATGAGAGACCTATGACCGTCCATTAATTTTCATTTAAGAGAACGATTGGCCCTCAATTTGTAACGACTCTTGGGTGTTTGACATATCTATAGCAGCTGGCAAATCTTCCTCTGTTGCTGAATACAACACATTGGAAGTAAAACTAGAGATGTTGTTGTTGTTTTTGAAAGATTCATAACTTTTATTCAGCAAGGATACATTAAATTGATGAAAAGTGACAGTAAAGACATTTATATTGTTGCAGAAATTCTATTTTGAGTAAATGCTGTTCTTTTGAACTTTCTATTCATCAAAGAATTCTGAGAAGAAAAAAAAGTTTCCACAAAAATATAAATCAGCAAAACTGATTTCAACATTTATAAGATGTTTCTTGAGCACCAAATCAGCATATAAGATTACATTTAGATTTGCCGTCACATTAATAAATGACATTTTAAGATATATTAAATATTTATATAATATTTAATATATCTTAAAATGTAATTTATTCATGTGACGGCAAATCTAAATGTACAGCAGCCATTACACACAATAAGTGCATTGCACCAAATGATTAATTTAAATGTAAGTACATAGTAGTTAAGGCCACTTAATATAAAGTGGGACCAAATATCTTACTGACCCCAAACTTTTGATCGGTATTGACATTTAAATTAATAATATTCCTTGCTTTAAAGCAAAACTTTTAATTAGGCGGCATTTTGAAGTGAAATGGAAGTAAAAAGATCCTGCCAGTTGAAAAAAAAAACTTTATTGCTCTAAGGAGGTGAGTGATAGCAGAACATAAAGCTGTGTCCAGCTGGAACAGATGGAAGCTTGGTGACTGTAAAACCCAAAATGTCCACAGAAGCTTTTCATTGGTGACTTATAAAAACACTCTGCCAAAACAATTGCGATGTTAGCTAAATAATATGCTAATGAGACAAGGCTGTCGAGCCACAAATCAAGTTTAAAATGTAAGTTGTTTTGGAGAGATAGTGGTTGCTTGTTCAAAGACAGCATGTCTGAAATTGACCTGGAAGAGGGACCAGCAAGATAATGGTGTGCTGTCTGTGTTCATCTTTGCCAGATCATCATTTCCAGAGTAGTGTGGAGCCAAAAGCTGTAGAAGTTTCCAACTTTTTTCATATATATGTACACTAACATTTTAAACTTTGGGGTCGCTAAGATGTTTTTGAAAGAAGTGTCTCATTCTCATCAAGGCTCAATTTTAAATATGTACTGTATATATTATGATAAAATAATTTATTCCTGTGATGGCAAAGCTGAATTTTGCAGCCATTACTCCAGTCTTCAGTGTGGCATGATCCTTCAGAAATCATTCTAACATGCTGATTGCTGCTCAAAAAAAAACAAAACTTTTTATTATCAATGTTGAAAACAGTTGTTTAATATTTTTGTGGAAACTGTGATACTTTTTTTGTACGATTCTTTGATAAACTGAGCAAAAGAACAACATTTATTTGAAATAGATATCATTTATAACACTATAAATGTCATTATTGACACTTTTATTGATTATTAATTTGATGCATCCTTGCTGAATAAAAGTAATTTCTGGAAGTAAGTTTCTTCAAAACATCAACGATCACCATTCATTTTGTGGTGGAAATTACACTTTAAACAGTTTTGGAATAAAATAGCAGAATAATTTGTCTTGCTAATACAAATTTCATAGCTAGCATTTTATAAATATAAATAAAAAGAGTGAAACAATTAAATCTATGCATGCATTTGAAGCATTAGCAAAAAGATAATAAAAATAGCAATTCTATTTCCATACAATGTGTCCTTTTGTGAATAACAAAATGTAATTTCATCTTCAGTCTTGAAATTTGTTTGTTTTATTAAAAATAAATCCCTGGGACCTAACTGTGCCTGTAGTTGACAAAAAGTTTGGGTTACACTTTCTACGAAGCCCATATTTATAATACATTATAAGGGTATTCTTAAGGCATTATGATGAATGCATAATGCATTTTAAAAAACCTTATAATATGCTATATAATCTTATGAATATTCATAAGAATAGTTTTAATGTTTTATAATATTTACTTATTTGTGGTTATAGCGTTTAAGGGTATGCTGATTTATAACACACAGTGAACATTACATCAACATGCTTCCTACCCTAACCTTAACCTAAGCCTACTAATACTCTAATGAGAGTTAGTTAATATGTAGTTGCAAAGTTGCTTATAGACAATAGACTAAGGGGACCATCAAAATAAAATGTAACCTAACATATAAACATTGCATTTTTTTTTCAGTTGAAATGATCAACTAGCTCACATCAAAATTAATATTAGCCTCACAGTGAACACTCAAATAACACTCCAAACCTAACCACTTACAAGATGTAGTAAGATACTGTGCAGATCTTAAATAAACAATGTCAAGATATATAGTCCATTA